TGGGATTATATTCTGATTTCATCACTTGCTGTATAAAAGTTTGTGCAGTTGTTCAATAAATCAGAGTTTGTTTACCCTACACTGAGTCCCGACCAGTGACTGGGGAAACTGGGAGCTACAGATCAGCGGGTTCCAATATCTCCTCAGCAAGGAAGAAGACAGCGGCGGACATACTCATCCTGAGTACGGGGGTCCGTCACAGTGACCGCAGGCAGCAACCGAGCCCGCGATTTACATTTGGTTTCCGTGGCAACAGGTACCCAGGTGATTCCCATCTCAGACACAACATGCATTGCAGCCCCCCACACCTCCCCACCCCCTTATAATGGAGGCGAGGGGGCTGCAACAAACACGACCAGGCGAAACGCCGCGCCCAGACATCTGCGCCCCAGCGGCGGGCGGTCGGACGTGTGGGCAACGGGGGGCGCTCAGATTACCGAAGCGTGCGAGTTTATGGTTTCGGGGGAGGGAGGAGGCGCCTACTGAGCATTGAGCAACGGAACAGAACCGACCGAAAACCACGCAGGGCGGAGCGAAGATACCCAGTGCGGCCAATCAGGATCTTCCGTTATTACTAGAAAACTTCTGATTGGTTCGCAGACTTCACCCTTATTAACCCCTTCCCGCCCGCATGACATGTGGCAGCACACAGGCTGGTGGCATTCGTCCACCCTGACACATATTCCCTACGCGCACCTCTTCCGCGCTGGGAGCGCGCTCAACTGTGGCTGCGTGGCCCTTGACAACTCCCCGGTCACCTAATGATCGCGCGATCACTGCGACAGCCAATCACAGCGATCATACGATCGGGCGGCTCAGGAAACGCCTCCTTGTAACAAAAATGTAACATATTGAAACCGACCGATCCCTAAACATGGCGGTTGCATTCGTTTTCTTTTAAACAACCTTCATCCCCTTTATTGTCACCTGGTGATCCCGCCAGAAACACACTTCCTGTCCCAGGGTGACAATGCTCACCTCGCTGCGTCAATGGAAGCGCAGTGTTGTCACCCTAAAACAGGGCTACATAATCTTAATCTCGGGAACAATGTAATGGATTGCAGAAAGACAGCGGCTCCCCGGATTTGTTGCATCAACACAGGTGTAAGAAGAAGCGTTGTCACCTTAGGACAGGGCTACAGAATACCTCCCTCTCC